CCCTATTCGATGACCTTAGCTTGCGGGGGCACTTCCATCAGACTCACCCTCCCTATTCTGTGAAGGAAACATTCATTCTACCGTCTGTAACTTCCTCATCATTGATCCCCAAGGTTCCTTTGGACTTTCCAGGGGGAACTAATTTTATGATCCTCATGGTGAAAGAAGTTTTGTTATGAGGGTAGCAGGTGAATAGTCTAAAAGGAGGAATGATATTTTGATAAACAAAGTGTGTGTGTCAAAGGGACATAACATAATCATTAAGAGTAGAGGCTATGGAGGCAGAACGCCTGGGTTCAAATTCCAACTCCACCACAAGCCATCTGCATGACCTTGAATAAGACTTTGGTGTCTAAACCACAATTTCCTCATCTGTGAAATGAAAATAAAAACAATGATATTTGCCTCATAAAATTGTGGTCAAGATTAATTCAGGTAAACCAAGTAAAGCACTTGGCACAGTGCCTAGCACTAAACAAGAGCAGAAACTCAGAGAATGAGCTCACCACTGACCCCAGTTTACAAGATGGGACTCAGCTTCTGCATTTGCAACAGCTGACAGTGGCAGTTGCTGTTGCCAACGCCCACCTCAACCAGCAGCTGTGGGAGTGGCCTGGGAGAACGAAGGTCAAGCACTGGGGTGGCCAAAAAGTCTGGTTGTTGTTTCTATAAAATAAAAGGCAAGTTTTTCATTTTTACTAATAACTTTATTGATTTGGATGTTTTCAGAATGTCAGCTATCTCCTGCATGGTATAATGTTGATTGTTCTCAGGTAATGTCTCGATTTGATCACTATCAACTTCAGCTGGTCTACCTGACCAGGAAGCATCATTCAGTGAGAAATCTCCAGCACAAAACTTTGCAGACCACTTTTGACACATTCAATCAGTCACAGCACCTTCTCCCTACTTGCACAAATATTTTTTTGTTTCAGTTGTTTTTTGAGTTTCAGTTCTTTCTTGAAATAATAAAGCATAATATGCCAAAAACTTGCATATTTTCTTCCATCTTCTATATTAAAATGGCCACATAAAAATTTACAAACTTTGATATCTTTTTTAAATGCATGCTTATATGACAGCTGTCACAATACAATCTAAAAAATTGTTTCTAATGAAGTTAAAGACAACTAAGCACTACTAGAGCCATCTAATGGAAAAAACCCAAAATTTTTGGTCAGCTCAATACCAAGCACAGTGTTTGGTAAAAAGTAAATTCCCAGTAAATAAATTCCCAGCTATCTTTCTCCTTAAAAGCCTTCATATTTTCCCTTCAAGCACTTGGCATGCCCATCTGCTCTTAGTCCTTTCCAATACAGGAATCTGGGAGCAGCAGAGGACAGATATTTAAAAATTACCTCATTTATCTTCCCTTCCTCTTGGCAGTGGATGAGGACCTTGAGACCCTTTCTTTCCCATTTCTCTATCCGAGTCGCCCAGCAATTTTGCAGTCACTTAGGAGAGATAATGCAAATTCTAATTAAATGTCATGAGCCCAACGGCAGCACCATCTTTCTTCTGAAAAAAAAAAAAAAAAAAAAAAAAAAAAAGACAGACAACATGCCAATAACCAGTTTGTGGCTCTTAGGAACTTTCTAGATTTGCATTTCTTTATTTCTTGTATTTCAAACCCATAAGCTCACAGAATTTTGCTGAATTCAATGTCCAGATAATGCTCTGCTAGTACTTAATATTTCAAAGCTCTACCTTGTATTATCGGTGCAACGTTGTGCTAAGGGCGGGAATGTGCTAAAAATTGTTCCTGGGAGTGCGAAATGGGACTTGTGTTTTAAATACATTTTCTTTAACTTCCCTTGTTCAATAGTTGCTGCATCTAATGGTTTACTATTAAAAAAAACCCAACACCCCCCCATCTTCTCCTTTTTTTAACAAATGCTGCCTCCTTCTACCTTCTGTAGTTCAATCACTGCGTAGATGATTGGGAATGGGAAGGTAAAAGTCATTCACTTCCTCGCAGTATCTTTATTTCTTCCACCTGAAAAACATAGACTAGCATTACCTCCCAACGTATGAGAGGTCTCGTGATGGAACCAGGAACTGAAGGGCACTCGTGGTCCACATAACTCCTGGTGACCTGAAAGGAAGCTGCACAAGTCAGGTGGGTGAACAGATGCTGCTTTTAAAATGCAATGCGATTCCTATTCATTTCTAAGTTTAATTTACAGAATGTATGCATTAATAAAGTTCACAGCTGCACATGGCTCTAGCCACTCAGTTGCATATTTCTAATTGTTCGTGAACCTACATATTTTGTATTATGGCTAAAGAATTAATGCCAGTTAATTTCTTTAGCAGAGAAGGAAAATTAGCAAAAAATTGATGGTGATAGTTCTGCAAACCTCTTATTATCAAAGCTAAGCTCTTCTTTGGTGCTCTGTTTATCCATTCTTAAAAATCTGCTTGTTTTCCTATAAGAATGAATAAAATGCATGCTTTTTACCCCTCACTTCACAGCAAAGAACAAAACCTAAATATTTCTTATGTACACTTTCAGTTGCTCATAAGGACACCCTGCTCTCTCACCCTGGGTGAGTCCTTCTGGACTCTGAGATTGTCTTCCTGTCTCCTTCTCACCCAGGAGCACCACCTTGGCCTCTGGCATCATCCTCACATGCTCAACAGCACTTGACACTAGTCATGCTGACCTTCTGGTTTCCCCTGTTAGATCCACTGTCCCACCTAATCTCTGGCCCAGGGTCCACTCTGTATTTGTGAATGCATATCTTGTGAATAGAAATACTTTATGACCATAGAAACACTAATGCAAGCACATTAACAAATATCCAGAGAAGAAACTAAGAGCTGATTGCTACACCACATGAGCCCATGTCCATTGAAGGGGAAACGACTGAAAAGAGACCTGGTTGAAAAGAAAGTCCAGTGCCTACCAGGCGAAGGTGATTTCTACAGCTAAAGTGTGGGTTCTTGAGTCCACCTGTGGCTTTAAATCCAGCTCCATCACTTTCTTGCCTATGACATTAGGCAAATTACTTACATAACATTGACCAGAAAATGTGAATAACATAGATAACCAACTTCATGGGGTTGTCATGAACATTAGATGAGATTATCCATGTGAAATATTTATAGTACACTTAATTTGTAGTATGCATTCAATAAATGCATGCTTTTGGTGTGTCATAAAATTGATATTATCCTTATCATATATTACCTTTAATCAACCTCTCTCTGATAGCAAACCTTAATTTAGGTATCTGTCAGTTTTTCAATAATTCATTCATTCATCAAAGGTTTATTGAGCATCTACTGTGGGACACTGTCTTCCAGATGTTTGTGATATGTCAATAACTAAAATAGACAAAGATTCTCAATGTCATGGAGTTTATATTTCTAGTGGAAAGAGATAGACAATAAACAATAGCCTAATAAACAAATTATATAATGTAAATGCTAGGAAAAAAGAAAATTTGAGCAGTGAAAAGGGGCCTGTAAGTCTTTGTGGGCAGGCTGCAATCAGCAGAGGCATTATTGAGAAGGTGCCATTCAAGCAAAGACTTCAAGGAGGAGAAGGAGTTAGCTGTGATGCTCTCTGGGAGAAGAGCACCAGGCAGGGGAACAGCCAATGGCATAAACATCAGTGTGCCTAGTGTGTATGAGGCCAGCGTGGAGACTGGGTGGGGGCGCAGGGTGTGGGATGGAAGGATAAAGGGAGAGCTTAGGCTTTTAATCTGAGTGTAAAGAGTAGCATTGCAGGTTTTGAGCAGAGAAGGGGCTATGTTCTCACCCACAGATAGGGTGGGGTGGGCAGCCCAGTTCCTTGTTTCCAGCCAATGTTCGAAAGCTTCAGAATCTTTCCCAAGGTTCTGCCATAACCACAGACTTGTGCGGGCCAAAGGTCCCTACTGTACCTCCAGGTGATTTTACTTTTGATTGAGACAACTTTAGTAAAATAATTAGGCTTTAGACAAATAAACAAGTCACACTTTATAAATGTTCTAAGTGCTGCTGCCTCTTGCGGGAGTCGGTCAGCATGTCATTTGTAGCAATCCCCAGTACATCGTTGGGCAGATGTACTGATGCACAGTCACGGAGAACAGTTACCCATAATATTGTTTCTGAGTTAATAAACATAGCATTCTTTGCTACCTTTCTCCTCTATGTTCTATATAGTTCTTGAAAATGTTTAGATTCTTACTTTTTGCTGATTTGATAACATGTGAAGTCATGTCTCAACTGTACAATATGATTTCCTCTGGAGCAGATGTTCAACTTAATCGAATATGCAGTGATACAGTTAAAAACTCAATGAAAGTTTAGCTAGATTGAATGGAATTTCCTCAGGTAGTTATTAACTTATTAAGTACTAGAAATTTTTGCTTGGTTTTTATCATCATAGAAACTCAGATGATGAATATCACATTAAAATAATGTTTCAGTTAAAATAATGTGTCCTGAAATCTACTTCAAAAGGAAGAGAAAAAGTCAGATGAAATATATTATCATTATAGTTGATGACACTACCATCATTTTCCAGTGACATTTCTTTGTAATTTTGGTCCATGTGGCCATGAAGTTTGCTTGGAAGCAGAGCTGAGAGTTGAGGATAATTGAAAGAGTGGATAGATGTAATGATCAGCTTAACTTCTATGAGAACTAAGTTCCTTTTTTTCCTTATTGATTTGAGAGAGACATTGTTGTGAAAGAGAAACATCAATCAGTTGCCTTCTGTATGCACCCCAACTGGGGATTGGACCTACAACCCAGGTATGTGCCCTGACTGGGGATAAAACCCACAACCTCTTGGTTTAAAGGACCACGCTCCAAATAACTGAGCCACCTGGCCAGAGTGGGAAGTAAGTTTGTTATGATAGTATCAATCGTTGCTGTTCCAGGACCACTGCAAGATGAAGAAATAAACTGAGCACACACACAGAAAAAAGATGGCTATGTGTCCTTTATTTGTGACATTTGGATTCTTAAGCTCACATAGAATTGATTTCAGAAATGTCCTTTAGTTATATTTTGCTTTTCTAACTGATTTAACTGTGTTAGTATGTTCTTCTAGTCAAACCCTTAATTTAATCACAAATGGAGCTAAAAATATGGTGCTCATGTTTTTCTGATGCAATTAGAAAAGATATTGTAAAACTTTGGAATTAGAACACTAAAAGGTAATAGAACAGCTTAATTGTCAGACTAGAACCAGACTCTTCCCTCTAAAAGTCACAAAGATTCTTATTTGCTCACTGAAATCTTCTTACTCAGAATTAATAACTGCCCAGAGGGAGTCTGTTATAAAAAGTTTTTTTTAAATTGATATACATTCTAAAGCAGCAAAAATCTATTACTTCCAAACCACAGTTTGTTTGGGTAATTCTAAGAGAATCACCTGCATCATCAAGGACCAAAATGACCCAAGAACCAATGACAACAGTGTTACCCAAGTGACACACCTGACTCCTTTTAGGACTTTGCCTTTGTACACATTTCTCCACAATGTGCCCAGGCTTTTCCCATGACATTTCTCCTGTGTGAAACCTAAGGGGTGTGGCTGTGGTGGAAGGTGAGAGACCATAGGAAGTGCTGTGCTTCCATCCATGACCAACCAGGATGATGAATTGGCATAAATCACCACCATGAGCTGAGAAGAACTCTCTCCCAGTCCCTTAATACTCTGCCAATTAAAGAGGTGTTTAAAGCAGACAGTGTGATCTCATGAGAAATGTTAAATGTAGGAGGGAAGGAAAAATCAAGATGAGTCAAAATAGTTGACTATAATATAGATATGAATTTAGTGTGGGGAAATATAACAAAAAATGGTAAATGTATAACAGTCAAGTCAGGATTTAGCAAAGGCACAATATGATTTGTAGAAAACGTGCAATAATTTTCTCCCGGTTCACTCCTGGTTACACTCCAGTGCACAGTGACAGGGGGAGCTTTGGCAAGGTTTCAGGTGGGGGCACAGAAATGTGGGTACGAGGGCAACAAGGCTTCTGGGAGACTCTGTCCATCGGAGGGTGTTAAAGGAAAGAAGGCTGAAGGGCAACCAGTGTTGGTCTTTAAATACTTAATAGGCATGCAAATAAAGCTCTCATTTATTATGTTTTTACTTATTCTATTTAGCCTTTGGATCTTTTTAAAATGTGGGATTCTAAAAAGGTGAGCTGAGACTCAAAGCTAATAGTTTGGTTCAAGTTGAATGGAAGTTTCAGATGGTGTAAAGTGTTCGGTGTGTTATACTCAAGGACAATGTAGAATCTCTATGCCTGACAGTCTTTGAAAGTAGAATTGATTTTTTCACCTGGAATGTTACTCATATAGTTTGGGAGGGTAGAAGGGACGGATTAAGAAATCTCTAAAAGTTGCTTTCATTCATTTCTGCCCCTCAGAAATGAGAAAACACTTCAAGAGAGAAAATTAACCACTTTGGAAGCAGGAACTGACTCTACATGAGAATTCTCAAATGACTCCCTTTTAATTGTTACCCTCCTAAGAAACATTTTAGACATTTAATTCAAATCATCCTCTACCCCCATGAAATGATCATACCACATATATACTTCATATCTGTATACAAACTTTGTCCCTTTGTAATATCTACACCACCCCAATTTTTTGCTCTTGGGCACAAAATGCATGCTTTTCAGTGAAAGTGCATGCTCTCTAAAATAAACATGGGTCTGAATGAGGGGTCATTGGGGATGGGAAAAAAAGACATTACATACATTTCCACTCTGGATGCAGGGACCATGTAACTTCTCATTAACCAGCATGCTTGTGTACTGCCTGCATAGGGAACATTTGGGTTTCCCTTTACCTCTGTTAAATGGAAAGAGATGAGTTCTTTGTCACTACTGCATCTTCTAACTGCAATGGTTGCAATCCTTGGGAGCTCTTGGTCCTCCTTGAGAATAGTAAGAAAGGCTGTGCACATTTGTAAAACGTGTGTGCGCCGAGTTTCAGAGTTTCATAACGAATTACAGAACATTATAATGAGTGGGTCTGACAGAAAACACCTGAACCCACTGATCAAGCTTAACATCATGAGACAACTAGACATTATGCACTTCCAGATTTAATGCAATAGAAAAGAGACAACATTATATATATAACATTCTTGCTAAAAAAGTTTATCCTGAATCTAATAATGACAGATGACAGAGAAGCAGAGTCCCAGAGTGTGGAACGGGCCTAACCTTTTAAGGCAGTGTCCTGAAGGACACACACACACACACACAGACACACACACAAACTCCAACCCATTACCTTGAGAGAATGACAACCGAATGGCAATGTGTGATTCTTCATTAGCTTTTGGATTTAAAACAAAATAGATAAACATTTTGGGCATAATTGATAAAGTATTTTAAAGTTTTATGATGTCTGTAACATATTTTGAAATGGTTCATCAATAAAAATGTATATTTACAGAGAGAGAGAGAAAATATGGAAATGCTAGCAATTAAGTGAATGTTAACAATAGATGCAGGTAATGGGTATATTGATGTCCATTGAAGTATTTCCCTTTTGAAATTTCTCAGAAAGAAATAATAGTAGCTACCTGTATAATTCAACTGAAACAACCATGGGAAATGAAGGGGAGCCAGCCAGGTTCAGAGGAAGAAGCCAAGGTTCTACCTAGGCCAGGTTCAGAGGTGTCAGTCTTCAGCCCAGAGAGCCACTGACACCTGTGGGCTGCCGGGAGCTCAGACCTCCGCTTACAATGAGATACATACTGATGATGTAGTCGGGCCAGGGAGACTAACACAAAAAACCCGCCTGTAACGATTTTCTTTAGGATTTGCCAAACAAGGTCTGTGGGAACAAAAATACTCTGTAATTAAAAAATGAGAGTTGTGTGCCAGAACTTATCCTAGAGGAGCTGATTAGAGCAATTAGCAATGCAACCAGGGAGGAACTGTTCCAGAAGTTGAAAAAATGTTTGGATTTTTAAGTTGAATGAAAATTGCATATGCACAAACAGTTAACAGAAATAACATTAGAAAGAATTAGTGACAAATGTCTTCCAAGTCCAGTATCTTATTTGATGGAAATGCGGGGAAAGACTCAGTTTTTAACGCAGGACTCTGGCTTTCCGCTTCCAACCGGCCCCTCTCGTCCCTCCATCCGGCGTTTCATGTAGCGTACTTACTGTGCATTGAGGGGGGTTCTTGATTTCTTTTTCTCTGGATTCTTAGCACAGTCAAATATTCTTTCAGCCAAAAATGATGCTAAAAGATCTTGGCCTACCTTGTCTCAAAAATGGGGGCGGGGCAGTGCCTGTTGAGAGCACAACAATTTGGAGAGAGGTAGCAGGATTTGGATCCCAAGAGACAGCTGGGACGAGATGCAGAGCAAGGGTTGGCTCGCCAGGTTAGGTCAACGCAGAAAGTCCCCGCGCCCCACAGTCGGCCCTTTCTCAGTTTGGACCAAGAAGATTTCATGCTTCCTGGGCTCTGGCAGCCACCCATGGCTTCAATACTTCACGTGAAATGAAACGAAATCAGAGTTGTTTAGTGATTCTTTAATCGGTATCACATTAAAATGCACTAATACATTCTTATCTACTTCCCTCCACCAATTGCGATTTTGTCATAGGCAAATGATCACCGCAAGTATTATCACTGCCTAGTCACAGGCTTTCGGGGTAACCGTAGATTCACGGGTGAATCAGAGAAGGCAACATTCTTGAAGCACAACTCATGGAGGTTCCAACAGGCAGGGCGTAGCAAAGAATGTTATTCTGTCTACTGGAGCTCAAGACCTGGGAAGGATGGAAGGAGGAAGTGAGCTCCAGCTCCACAGTTGCCTTGGCAACTGTGGCACACTCATTGGGACAGAAAGTAATTTTATGCCATAATATAATACAGCGGAAGAGGAAGAGGAAGAGGAAGAAAACATGGGCTGCATTTAAAAGCTCAGAGGGCCAGCTAGGAAGGTTCCATGTCAATGCTCAGAGAGTCTGAGCTACATGTACCAGTAAGCAATTGTACTTTTTCTTTTCACTGAAATTTTAGTATTATGCAGAGACAGCCATGACTCCCTACCCCCTAATAAAGAACAAACACTGCACTAGTCTGGCTCAGGGCTTCTGCTGATCATCCTTACTCATTTATAACTTCCTTTTGTTCCTCTTCTGGGAAACAGGAAAAATATTTCGAATGGAAGAAACAGGGAATGGAGTGGTTATAAAGAACACTCAGGGTGAACTGGTTATGTGGTCGCATCCTGCTAGAAACCAGTCTCTTCCCTGTAGTTACAGGGTGTAGACCCTGTTAGGGGCAGAGACCAGCCGCCCCTCAGAGTGTCCCTGATAAAACCGCCCGTTAGGAAGACAGTGCCAGTGCCACAGGATCTGGGTGGGAGTCCTCAGGGACCTGAAAGGAAGGCTCGTTGTAGAAAAATTTGCTTTGTAACCAGAGATCCAAATGCACTTGGTACTTAGAAAATACATACAGAAAAGTCAGCCAGTGGACAAGACAGATAGGTGGAAAAGTACAAACAGTATCTCGGTCTCATAACCTGAATTCCAGCACAGCTTGGGCGCAAGTCCCAGGCAGAACTGCCACACAACCAGGAGGCTTCCTCCAGAGCCAGGAGCAGAGGGGCAGTCCTTCTCTCACGCTGTGGTCGGCTGGTGCACAGGTCGTGGCTAGCAGCACTCGGGGTTAAGAGCACAGGAAGGGATGGGGGACGTCTCTCAGGAATCACCCCTTGTCTACAGCTCGCCTGCTCCTGAAGTCCATCACCATTTCATCCCGCGAGGTCTCCCACCTGCCCACCTGGAACTCCAGGAACAAACAGCTTTCCTCTTTCTTCGAAGGGGTCAGGTGGGGCATTAGTGACACATCCTGCTCGTCATCTCTTTCTGGAAAGCAGGGGGAGAAGGATGGTTAGGGAAAACTCAGCAGAGACGACTTGTTGAAGGGTTCTGACAATACCCTTGTGATCTCTGGAGTCTTTAAACAAGAGCTTACAAGCATAGACCATGGAAAAGGCTTAACTTGCAGATGTCTTCTGTTTGTTTTGTTTTGCTTTTAAATCAAATCAATATTTAAAAGCACAGCCAACTTGCCAAAAATCCGGGTTGCTTGCTTTTTCTGAACCATTGCAAGATCCGAAGCCTCCAGACCACTGGGGTTAACTGGCTGTCTTCTTCAGAGGGAGACTATGCTCTCTAGTTTTCCCCAGGCCCCACCACTCCCAGCCATATCTCCAACAGGAACCAAGTATCACTTAGAGCACAGGTGGCACATACAAGGCCCATGAGCCGAATCTGGTCCTCCATCTTGTTTAATCAGGGCCAGTACCTTGCTTCTACCCAGCGGCAGCACCAAGCTCTCGCTTAACTGTTAAGGATCAATTAGTTACATTTCTGCAGTCTTAAAATTGCATTTGGCCCTTCGAAGGCAACTGTGAGGCTGATGTGGCCCCCTGGTGAAAATGAGTTTGACACCCCCGATACAGTATGGCAGGATCATTGGATTTGGAATGCTGTGTTTCTTAGAGAATAACTTCCCTTTACTTGCTTCCACTAAAGATGGTGTAAGTCAAGAAGAGCAGGAGGGAAGACATTCCTTAACAGAGATGAACACTATACCAATGGTTCTGACATGCTGTCAAGCACCCTACCACCTGCCTGGCTCTTGTGGGTTTTTCTGAGTCCTAAATGCACCACCCGTTCTCTTTCTCTGGGCCTCTCTGCACAGGCTGAGACCCTTGCCTGAGGCCTGCTCCTTGCACACCGGGCCCTCTTGCCTTGGCTAAATGCCATTCATTTTCCCAATCAGGCCAGAGGACTCTCACCTGCCTGGCAGATCTGCCAACACTCTCTCCCAACCCACCATGAGATTAGCAACTCCCTCCACTTGTGCCCACCTGGAGTCTTTGCAGGCAATGAGCTAGAATGTACTTTGTGTGTGTGTGCACAGGTCGTGGGAATATCTCCTAGCTCTGCACCACTGTGAGCTGTTGAGTGTCAGAAAAAAGAAGCCCTCACTCAACCACTACACATGTTTTCACCATGTACCCTGAACCCCCTGCACAGTGCCTGGCATAGGGTAGCAGCGCCTCTTTCCTCATCAAGGATGGTCTGGGAAGCAGGCTGGAATGAGCCCTGTACCATGCAGCATTTGGGAGGACATATTTAATGCCATGTCTATTAGATGAATGAGCTGTGTCCAAGTCCACCTGCTGCAGAACTGATGCCAGCTGCTAGCTCTCCTGCAACCTGACCCTGGGTCACTGACCCCTACCTATAAAATAGGAAATACCTGAGTAAAAGGAGCCTGAGCAGGGGAGTGCCCAGGTGCTCAGAGACTGTCAGAAAATACATTGGTTAAAGAAGTAACAATATACATGGAAGAATTTAAGCACTTTTATACCCCTAGAATATTATTAAATACAGGCAAGTGTGTGTGTGTATATGTATATGTATATGTATGTATTAATATAATAGATGCTAATTATATATGCATATATATATATACACACATATATAATTAGTACCTATTTAGGTTTATTAGGTGTCTGGGTGATGAGTTTTTTGCTCACAAGGAGCTGCAATCTACCCTGGAGAAAGAGCTGTAGATCACAAGGTATCAATGAAATAACATAAATATAAATATACAGAGGAAGGGAGGCCATGAGGCACAGTGGAACTGAATTCACCCACATTTAGCTCCCATATCTGCCTTCGCTACCCTTAGGTGACCTCTCTACGCCCTCAGGTCTTGGCTGGAATGTCTCCTTTTTAGGGTGCCTTCCCTAACCTCCGAGACAGTGCACGTCCCCCTCCTTTACCCCTCTTCACACAGTCCACTATTTGTTTCATTCTTGACTCCCGAATTCATCCCACATCAGATCCTGTAAGCACCATGAAGGACGGTGCTATGGTTGCTATTTGCTGTCATAGTCTCAGTTCCTGGCCATTGGTGTTTGATAAAAAGTGGTTTAACCAAGGAAGCAATAGGCCCTCAGTCTCCTCACCTGAAACAGAATGGCAATAGCTCCCTGAGGAGGTGACTGGAAAGAGTTCAAGTGTTAATGATACAGGGTGCAGCCAGGGGGGCCCCCAAAAAAAAGATTTAGAAAGATGTCCAGAATTCAAAGTGTATAGAAATATTGGAGAGACATATAAGATGTCCTCACCGCCCCCCCCCCCAGGGGGAAGGGATGAATGGAGCCAGGCCATTGAGAGCTGTTTTGCATAGCAAGTTTTGCAGCTAACCTCTGGAATGATTATTTAACATATCTATAACCTTTAACTGGTTTCATAGATATGTTAAATAGCTGTGGCCAAGTTTGGAGCCAGGGAGAAAGACTGGGACTCAGGAGAAAAAAACTAGGAGCTGGACTCCTGAAGGAGAAGTTGGTGGCAGGGATTCAGGATGGGAACTAAAGTCTGCTCTCCGGAGTGAGAAGGGCTTGGACTCAGAATGTAACTAGGGGCTGCGCTCCGGAGTGAGAGCGCCTAGGTGAGAGCTTGGAAAAGACTGGCTCCAGGACATGAAGGGCCCCCGCTTGGCCAGATGAAGAGAGAGCCATGCGGTTTCAGCAGAGTGAGGACCCCCTCTTGGTGAGGTGAAAGAGGGAGCCACATGGTTTTGGCAGGGTGCGGACCCCCTCTTTCCCAGGTGAAAAGGGAAGAACCACGCAGCTTTGCCAGAATGGAGATCCCTGCAGCCAGGTGAAGAAGAAAGCCACATGGTTTTGGTGGAGTGCGGACTCCTGCAGCTTTGGTAGAGGAGGCCCACGCTCACTTGTGCAGGGGATTAGGGGCTTGAGAGCACCTCTCTGATCACATACCCACTGAGAACTCCAAAATGTAGAGGAGAGTGAGAGGGAGAGGAAAGGAACTGGAGAATAGGGGCCACAGTTGGGGGGAGAGTGGCTGAGGTGGGGCCACCAGCCATGTGCAGTAGCCGTGGCTGAGCAGAGGGACCTGGGCAGGATGGGGACAGCAGGGGTGGGGAGACAGGCAAATGCACAGCTGCTCAGATGAGGACCCATGCACCTGGTGTGAGGAAGGGAAATAAATGCTGATGATTTTGAAGTGGATTTTCTCTTCCTTTTTTAAGCTGCCAAAGATTTTTGCACTTTTTAATAATTGATGATAGAGGCAGGAAAAATAAGGTGGGGATGCAGAGGGTGTGCGTCTGTTTGAGAGAGTGAGGGAGAGATCATGGGATAAACACAATTTTGGCTCTATAACTAATTCTGTAATTATTTGCAATGGGTCAATACTTTCGGAAAGAAAAGAGCTACCATTTGTCAAGCCCCTAGGAGGTGCCAGGTTCTTGGGAAGCGGGGTGGAATGTGTGTTATCTCATTGCCTCTGTAAAACTCTAGAGAAGGAACTTAGACCCTGTTTGAAAGAAGAGAAATCTGGGCCTCAGAGCAGAAGTGGTTTTCTCTGGGTAAACAGGTAGCTGCAGAAACTAAACAATAAGAGCTGCTTCCACCAAACAGAAGTCTGCTGTCCCGCAGCCTGTGCCTGGCACTGCTCTACACAATCACATCATGTAACCCTCATCCTAACCCTGTGAAGTAAGATTTGCAGTCCCCACTGGACTGAGGAGGAAACAGGCTCAAAGACGGAGGTGGTGGGGCTGGGGCTTAAACTCAAGTAACTGGTGCAGAGGCCAGCTTTTTGCACTCCACCATGTAACTGTGGTTAAGGCATCTGAGACATTCTTATGAGTATGCATTCAGATGATATTAACTTATGCATTATACATATAATATATTAATCATAGATGGTCATAGTCACCCCTAAATTTTCACAATGGTAAAGAGATATTTTTTAATTACCCAGACTCATGCCACTTTGAACTACAGGTGAAGTGGTAAATACTAAAACAGTTATGTCACTAAAAGACTATAGATACTTTTAAAAAGAAGCAGAAGAGGGAAGAGTTTGAGAGAGAATGTGGGACTTACCCAAAGTTATTGAATTACTCTGTGAAAAGCCAGAATCAGTGCTTTCCTCATCGCACCATACAGACTCAGAATGCAGGAGAAAAACTGTTTACTGGGATGTCTCCTAACATTCTTATAGGGGAAAGAACAGTTGAAATGGCAGATCTGAGACTTGAATAAGGAAGGTTCAGCTGGATCCACCCTTCAAAAGCCTTCAAGACTGTATTCTACCATGCTCCCACTGGGTGGCGCAAATGAGCTAGTTTGGAAAAACATTCTTCAGGAAAATCCCCAAAACTCCAAACTCTCTAGTACAGGATTTTCCATACCTTTCCTCCTCAACAAAGCCCTGCCCATGATCCCTAACAGAGCCAAATACATTTCTTCCTATGGAGGAGAGTGGCCTGAACAACTCCTGCCCAGGCTGCTCTTTAAGGATGTCATTAGAATGCAGTATGTATTAAGGCATGCCACTAAAGAACTCTTAAAAGGCTTCTGCAGCGATTATGGTAACTTTCTGAGAAATGCTCTTAAAGACTGTATTTGGCTTGTATATGAAGACTCCTTTTAAGCACCGGATTTTTTAAAAAAATCTATCCTTAAGAAAGTAAAGCCGGATTTTGGTTGTCCTCATTCAATAACATTTGCTTTAATGTAAGGCAGTAACCGATTCTAGAAAGTCCCTGGTTCCCCACTGTCATCAGAAGCAATTCCATACTCCACAACCTGGCAAATGGAGCTGTTCAGAACCAGGACCACCCCCCACCCATCACCTCCTGTTGAATGAACTCCCACCCACTCATTCCACCCACCAGGGAAACTAAAGTCCTCCCTGGCCTCCAACAGGCCACAGACTATCAAGGTTTTTAGGTTTCTCATAGACTGTTTCTTCTGGGACATGCTTTCCGCTCCCCTATGCCTGGCAGATTTGATGTCCTTCAGACTCAG